ATACTTCTCAGCGCTAAAAATTGTTGGTACATACAATAACCTTTTTTTTTTTTTTTTTTTTTTTTGAGACAAAGTCTCACCCTGTTGCCCAGGCTAGAGTGCTGTGGCATCAGCTTAGTTCACAGCAATCTCAAATTCCTGGGCTCAAGCAATCCTTCTGCCTCAGTCTCCCGAGTAGCTGGGACACTACAGGTATGCGCCACCATGTCCGGCTAATTTTTCCTATATATTTTTAGTTGTGCAATTAATTTCTTTCTATTTTTAGTAGAGATGGGGTCTCGCTCAGGCTGGTTTCGAACTCCTGATCTTGAGAGATCCTCCCGCCTCAGCCTCTCAGAGTGCTAGGATTACAGGCGCGAGCCACCGCGCCCGGCCTAAGAGTGAAATTTGATAGAAATCCATATATATATATAAATCTACACTTTCAATATACTTGATCTTAGCCAAAAGGGAGGAGCGATTACACTTTCAATACACGTAAAATAAAAAATTCTAAGTGGTGGGAAAGCATTGTCACAGTTGATTTGTAACCTCTTAGCGGGACATAAAATAATGGTGAGTTTTACAACTGGTGGCGTCCAGGAAACGGATAATAGTCAGAAGAAGGGAGAGAATTCTTCAAACGCTAAGAAGAAAAAGTCGACTTGAATTATTGGAGGAGCAAAGATGAAGAGGAGAAAATCTAGGATGGCTTCCAGGCTTCTGGTCTGGGCAAGCGACCAGATACGGTAGCCTACCTGGGGGGACAGGAAGAGCAGGCTTGGGGGCACAGTTCAACTTTGCTACGTTGACAAACAGACGAAGGAAGCCTTCGCGCGTTTGGCAGGACTGGCCCCGCTCGGCAGCTGGCTCTGGGCGCCTGCGGCTCTCCTGCGGGTGCCGATCCTGCGAGCCGGCAGCGGCGGGAGCAGGGTGGCGCAGGCCGGTTGCATGCCAGGGCCGTGCACTAACGGGCAACGTCGGCCTCGGGCGAACTGCAGAGTGCCGGCAGCCCGCCGGCCCGCCAGGGGCTGTCTGCGGGAGCCGTGGGCTGGCCCGGAACCCGGCTCCGGGCGGCGGGCGGGCCCGACTTCGGGCACTGCCAGGGATTGGTTGGGAGGCGCCAACAATGCCTAACTCAAACTGTTGGGGCGCCTCGAGGCTCTGGCCCGCACCTCTGCGCGCCCAGTCGCCTCGCTGGACAGGAGAGCAAACCACAGCCGCGGCGCTCAGCGAGCGAGTGACGCTCCGAGCTCCGGTTCCTGGGTCCGCTGGGACCTCCGCCCGCTTCATCTCTTCTTTTTTT